GCAATTTTTTCAAAAACTAGTACTACTAATGTCAAAAGGGAAGCAGCAATTCACTGCTGATTCTCTTCTTTGTAGTTTGGATGATGGAGTGGGCAGGCCAGGCTGTTGTCTTGTGTTTTCTCTGGCCCAAAGGGAGGAAATGCAGAAACAGTAAAGTAGCAAATTGCAAGAGGCAATAAGGATCACCTTCCAGATTTCCCTGCCTGAAACTACTTCATACTCTGTTAATTGCATGGTGCTCTGACCCATTAGTTTTCTTACTGCAAATCATTTAATTGGAAACTTAGTAATATTTTACTATCTGTTCGTTGTTTTACTGTCTGCCCTGATTCATTTTCTAAAAGAGCTAGAGGATAAGGACTTTAGAACAAAACAGTTTTGTCACAGGTGTCCTTGTGCTTTTTTAAAAAAAATTCTACTAGCTCTTCACATTTGTTGTACTCAGGTTCTTCCTGTTCTTATCACAGAGGCTTAGGATTGCTTATCACTCCAATATCCATAGCTGATATCAGAGGACAAATTTCAGGTAGTTCAGTGTGTGGGCAGGAGCCAGTGACTAATTAAGAGGAATGCTCATAATCATTGGCATTTAGCTGTCATCCACTCAGCGTAGGCAGTAAATGAATGGCACACACAAAGCAGACTTTAATTTCTTTACTTTGTTTTCTGGCTGCATAATCCCTTTAATCCTTTGCTATCAGAGTTTTTTTATTAATTAAATGGAATCTCTGCAGGCTCAGTGATTCACATTTCAGGGCAAATACGTGTATTTAACGGGGGAGGGTTGGCATGGGTTTCACTGGGCAACTTGAGGTTTTAAACAGTTCTTCCAAGGTTGTTTTGTAAATGAATGTGTTTTCTTGGCAGTCAGACCTGTAGGATCTTCACTGTTTAAGAGTATTCCTGTTTAGCAAAGAATTCCTGCTGCAAGTGTTAACAGGTTTCCTTGTGATCACTCACTGATCTTGACTGGGGTAGAAAACTGTCCCTGGGAGTGGGAGTGACCCACAGGAGTAGGAATTAACAAAGGTGAAGGAAGCAGGTGTCAGATCTTTGTCTTTTCATGTGGCAAGTTGAATGTTTCTTGCTGTAATGGGATCAGAATCCTCTTTCCAATTCCCAAGGCATATTTATGATATAAGAGGGTTCTGAAGAGCAGTGAGTCTCTAGTTGGATGCTCTTGTTGGACTCTTTAGTTGGATATTCCTATTCTTTTGATAAAGGTTTTTGTTTAAGTCCAATCCCCTTTGGTTCAGTAGAGGCTGATGCTTGACCTGGCAGCCACCCAGGATCCAGAAAGGTGAAAGGAAACCATTGGTGGTATCACAGCAAACTTCTGCAAATTGATGTTAGAGAGAAATTCCATTTTTTGTTGTAGATCGTACTAAAATTTGTTATTACAGTGAGGTCAGGGACAATATCCAACAGCTGTTATGCTCAGCTGACACTGAACCTGTGGGGTGGAGAAGCTCCTCTTACTGCCTCCCTGGTTTGTTCCCAGCTGAGAGAGGAGCTAAGGTGACACTTGGTTATAAAATGAGACTTTGTGTAGTTTTAGGAATGCAACTTACCTTGACTTTCAAACAGGTGACAAAAAGTCAAGTGGAGTGGTACAAGTGGCCTGTTGGTATTTCCTGTGTGCTGCCTCATTAGAGTGGAACATCTCCCACAAAGGTTTTGGCATCATCTGTGTTGGCATCAGAAAACTCTCAGAGAAGACTGTGCTTCTGTCCGGTGAAGGATCTGATAGAAAGACTGAAAATAAGAAATCATATTCTGATTTTAAAAAAATATCTGAAGCTTACATGTTTTAGAGGAGCCCCTCCAGTCTCAGAGTCTCTACCATCCAGAAGTATTAGGCACAGAACCCCCTGTTTGTACAGGAGGTGAGAAACAGAAACCCTTTTGCTATGAACCTTTTACTTTCCACACAACTCTTGCAAGAAATTACCAAGCCAAGGCATGTGATGAACAGGATTTTAATTACTGGTGCCACTAACTATGCCAGGATATGGTGCTGGTTCTGGAAGCAATAAAAAAGCAGCAGGCTCCTCTGCTTATGCTTATCTTAAAGAGACTTTTTCTCCTTCTTCCATGCCCTCAGAACTCTGCTGACATCACTTGGGCCTCTGTACATGGTCTGGCTAAGAGGGCACTTTCTGACTTCCAAGAAAAACAGATGGAAATTCAAGAAGCTTGCATCTGGCTGTTACCTCATCCTCAGCCACCTGGGCTGCTTGAGAGTCATCAGGGCATTCCCAGTTCCATTTTGCTTGCTATCTAATAAATTAAATGACTGTTAAAAAGGAGACATGCACAGAAAGCAGAGAACACTTAAAACTCAGAGTTACCATAGAATTACAGAATGATTTGGGCTGGAAGGGACCTTAAAGATCATCTGGTTCCCCTCCCCTGCCATGGGCAAGCATCTTACCAATAGATCAGGATGCTCCATGTCCTGTCTAACCTTGAGCAATCCCAGGGATGGGGTAAACCCAGCTTCTCTGGGCAACCTCTCTCAGGGCCTCACCACTCTTCTAAGTAAAGAATTTCCTTCTTAACACCTAATTGAAATTTCTTCTAGTTTAAAACCATTCTCCTTTGTCCTGTCAGTGTACAAAGTTCCCCTCCCTCTTCTTTATAACTTCCTTTTAAGTACTGAAAGGCTTCAGACTCCTGGAGCTCGGAAGGAGCTAAATTCCAAATAAGCCATTCTTCTTTCCTTTACCCCTTCCAGTGAAGGAGAGACAGCAAAGGAGAGATTATGGTTTGAAATAGCAATTTCCTAACACCAGAAAGCAGTGGAATGACACACACAATAACAACAACAGCTGTATTAATAGCAAAAATATACAAAGGAGAAGGTGTTTTACCCACAAAAGGGTTTTCATTATAGAGAACACAAAAAGCATGCTGGCAGATGCTTCCTCTTGATCCTGCCTTTGTCCTGACCTGCTCCATGTAATATTTGGGAAACAAAGGCAATGTGGGGAGGAGAGCTCCCCCAGCCTGAAAACAACAAAAACCAGAGACAAACAACCCCCAGAGCCCCATTGTTCAAATCAGAGCTGTGTAGCCACTTCACTGAGCTTGTTTTTTCTGCAGATGCTTTTGCTGCCACTTCTCCACTCTTGGAGGGGGAAAAATGTCCCTGGTGATGCTGACCTGGTGCCACCTGGCCCTGCTGGCTCAGAGCTGTCCCTCCATCCCCTCAGTGTCAGCCCAGGGACAATGGGAGGGGGAGGCAGCAGAGGAACTGAGGTCACCAGAGCTGGCTGGGGACAGTGCATTGCTGTGACATGGAACTGGATCACCTGCACACATTGGACAACAGATGTGTGTGCCAACAAAGTCTGTTCATCATTAATTCAGGCCTCAGTGCTGTCAAATAACAGAAGTCGCAGGTAAGATTATCCACATAATTCTTTGATTGAAAGGAAGGTTGTTTCTAACATTTTATTCAGAATATACTTTCTTTTCCCTGAAACAGTCCAGAACTCCAGTTTTGGTGGAAATGTGTCCTCACTGGTCACTAAACAGATTTCTGCTTCAGGTGAATGGACAAGAAGAATAAGGGGTTTGCACTTTGTTTGAAGCATTTCAAAATCTATTTCAAAATATATGCAGAATTTGCCAGCAACATGTAAAATTCCCGTTACTATCTCTTTTTTTCCAAGAAGAAAACACCAGATGTTTTGAGTTACAGGGTGTGTATATTAATTCTCTACCTTACGTTTGGGCTAGAAATTAATGACAGGCAGAAATATTCTGTCTATCTTGTTCTAAGATATAGTCAATGATGCAAAGGTCACTCTTTGATTTATAAATAGATAGCTTTATAAAACGTTTGGTGGCTTTTCATGTGTCCTGTTCATGCCTTCAAGTTTGATTTTGATGTAATGGTTGGAAGTACCAACAGAGAGAAGACTTGAGCTAGGGATAAAAATAAGAACTTAAGTCAGGTTTTTTATGGCACTTATTTTCTCACTGTATAAAACTGATTTTATATTTACTTGTACATAAGTTTATCAAAATGTGTAAGTGTGGCTTGGTGAAAAGAATCTGCTGTTGTAACCTGCTGAATGAAGAGATGGCTTGTCGTCGTTCAAATGCAAAATAGTTTTCTGTATTGAAAATCAGAGAGGGGAAAATCACCTTTAACCCACATACTGGTGGGTTTTCATTCTATTTTTTGAATAACATTTACTGAATAATAAAATATGTGAGGTTTGTGAATGGTTAAAAATGGTGCTGCGAATGCCCTGACTCAAACATGTATTTTCTTTTTTCTCAAGACCAAAGTTAACAGATATTTGATCAGAGAGACAGATACAGTGTCTGATGTTAAAATCTTTCCAACCTCAGTTCCAAAAATAGTACCACAAAGGTATCACACTTACAGCTGCAGTGTACATCAAGTTTACGTCACCCAGAAGATCAAAGCTGAATGATGTAGGGCTGAGGGTGGTGCAGTCCAGCTGCAAAGTTACAGCTATTTCTAAGTTCAAGTCAACCACAGCTTCTCTCAGTGTTTCCACTGCCTCCCTCCAGCCAACACAACAGCAGATGCTGCTGTGGCGCCTTTGCAGCTCAACATTTTCATGGCTTCTTTTCCCCTTCATGTAAGGACATGGCAGGGGTGAGGGATCTGTTTCCAGGGCTGATAGCATCAAATGAGCTCCATCTGTATTTGCAAATAAACCTCAGGACTGCTGGGTTTGAGCCAGACTTTGGGAGGATCTTTGACTCCAGACTCAAGAGGATGGCTGGTATTAAGAGATCATGAATGTCACCAGTGACTCCACAATGTGATCTCCTTTTTAGCTTCAGATCCCTTTGGAATGCATGTAAATTATGGCTCAGGTAACATTGATGATGGACCAGAAAACTATTCTGCACTTCTGTTAGAGCTTTTAAATGCAGTATTTCTTTCTACATGTAAATCAAGAACCACTTCTCAGAAATGTCCTTACTCATAGAGGAAGAAAATCAGCAAACTGTTTCAAGGGTTTTTTATTATTTTTTTAAGAAATATTAAAAAAATACCTTTTCCCCAGTGGCTAGGCTATTTACTGCCCTAACACTCAGGTGCTGACACTTACTCTATTTACATAAACAGATTCTTGTTCTGTGCTCCAAAAGAAAACTCAAATGTGGCTGACTCGGACAGTTCAATTTCTAGTTCACCAGGAGATCTCTCAATTCTGTGGATTTACCAGGATTCTGATATTCACCTTGTTCTTCCTCAGGGAAGTGGCAGCTGCAGGCATCATCTTCCTGAACTGACTGTTCAGGTGTGTGCACTGGAGAAAAAGAACAGATTCACAGAATCAATTGGGTTGGAAAAGACCTCTGAGACCATTTAGTGCAACCTTTGGCCATCCATGCTGTAAACCAGAGCTCTGAGTGCCATGTCCAGCTGTTTCTTGAACACCTCCAGGGACAGTGACTCCACCAGCTCCTGGGCAGCCCATTCCAATCGTTAACAACCTTTCTTGGGAAGAAATTCCTCCTCATCTCCATCCTGACTCTCCCCTGGTGTAGCTTAAGGCTGTGTCCTCTTGTCCTGTCACTGGGAGGAAAGGCTGATCCCCACCTGGCTACAGCCACATTTCAGGGAGGTGGAGAGGGCAGGGTCTCCCCTGATCCTTCTTTTCTCTTGACTAAACAACCCCAGTTCCCTCAGCCACTCCTCAAAGACCTTCTAGATTATTCCCCAGCTTTGCTACCCTTCTCTGGACTCATTCCAGCACCTCAATGTTTCTTGAAGTGAGGGGCCCAGAACTGGACAAATGTCCTCTTTCTCTTTCATTTATTCAGCCATCTTATTTCACCATCCCCCAGTCACAAATGCAGGATGTCAGGAAGAAAAAAAATCTTCCAGGTTATTCTATAATCTGAAATTATTCCTCTACAGCATATATATATCTGATAAAACTAATTTATCACACTTTATTTTCCCTAATTCAGCAGGGCCTGTTTGTCATGGCAATGAAAGGAAAAGCAGCATGAGGGAAATAGATTTTTGGACTGCTGTGATCTAATGTATTTAGAGTTACACTAGAAGATTCAGACCTTATCCTTAGAACAGGGGAAAAGAAGAGAAAGAGAGAGAGAACCCTTCAAAAAACTGAACAAACCAACTATAAATGACATTGAACGGAATCAGCTTCATCTTTGTGCTGAACTCTTGTGCTTGCCTGTCACCCTGATTTTTTAAGATTTTCTAAGCCTTCTGATGTTTACATTCTTGTAACAAACTTTCTCACACACTTTCTATAAATAACTTATTGTTTTGTATTCTTTTGTGGAGGACGAGAAATTTGATGGACTGTTGGTTTGTCCAGTGTCATTGGAGAGGTGGCACTGTCACCCTCCAATCCACTGTCACTTTTGGAAAACTATAAATGTTGGAGTCAGAAAATAAACTTCCCTTTTCTTCACCTTGGGAGCAGCAGTGTGAGCTTGTGTTGTTTCACATCCTATTGTGACACTTGCCCAGGAGTTATGAGCTCTCAGAGGGCAGTGCTGGATTCAGGCTGACCCTGCTCCTGTGAAGCAGCACACCCTGGCTGATGCCCCTCTCCCACTGCAGCCAGAGCTCCAAGACCCTCACTGCAGCCCCTGTGTCCTGTCTGGAGCAGAGAGAACTCCAAGGGGTTACAGCCACACAGGCCAGGAATGATGCTTGGAAGTCATAAACTGAACTGGCCTTTAACTGGGGCAGCTGAGATTTTTCATCTATCACAAACAGTCCACTTATAAGGATAAGCATGCACTTGACCTAACACCCACAGCAAATTTTCATTGCTTTCTGCAATAAAAATTCCAAAGCTGTTTTCCTTTCAGTTGCTTCTGACTTACAAAGCACCAAAAAACCCAAAGCTGTTGCAACTACCTTTGTAAGACACTTAACCTGGATTCTTGACTTCTGTCTAGTTTCAAAAAAAGCTGAAGAGCATATTTATCTTACTTTTCTTGATATTTATCTTACTTTTCTTGAAGACAGCGTGTAGTTTCTTTTTCTGCCAGACACTGAAGCAGATGCATAAAGGCAGCAAGAACATCAAGCACGACAGCCCAGCCACAGCAAGAGAAATCCTGATTGTGTCTGCCTGAACATCCTTCCCTAGGAAACAAATATTGTCTAAGAGTCTTAACAGAACAAAATTCTACTGCCCTTGAATTAGCTGAAAACTTTGTCTCCTATTCTGCTTCTGGATCAGTCTGCAACACTGGAAATGCACAGAAAAAACAATTTTTGCTTTAAGTGGAAGGTGAGTGTGCTACAGTATGTTTAAGTAGGTCATAATTCTTTACCTCCATAAGGAATATTACACAATGACTCACCTGGCACAGTGATATAAAATGGAATGTCAAGAGATGTTGTAGGTAGAGTAGTGACTAAAGTGGAATAAACTGAAGCATGATTGCAAATGACATCTTTTGCTGGAGTTCCGGGCACCAGGATTTGGTTTCTAGTGCACCTGAAGGACATTTACAGCAAAATGGGGAAAAGAAAAAAAAAAATCTTAAATTCCAGTCAAGTGTACTAGCTGTAGCATATTAACTTTTTTTTAGTTTGCTTACATTGTCCAGTTTTTACAGGAGCCATTGGGCTGATCATTAAAGGTTCCATAGCGGCAAGGCTGGCAACCTTCAACAGACAAGGACAGGTAAAATTGTACAAGATAACATTTAAAATGTAATATATGAAACATTATTTTTGCCTGCTTGTACGATGTCAGAATTACTACTTCATAAGCAGCTCTGAGTATGCAAGGCAAGTCTTTCCCTGTCAGCCACAGACCAGTACAGTATTTGGCTAAAACCCCAGTTGATTTGGCACAAGATGCCACAAACCATGCCTAGCTCCAGAGTTCTGTTTCCCTCACGCTGGCAGCCAAAGAGCTGCCATGCAAAGGGAACCAACTGGTGAAGGATTTGAGCTGTGCTAGGGCTCAGTGTGGTGGGTTTGGCTGCTCTGAGCTCACTCCACACACCATGCAGAGTGCTTAGCACTGGTGGCAGCTTTTATCTCTGGAGGTCCTTGCTCAATCTGCTTCTGCCTGGTGCAGGAAGCAGAGGGGCTTTCAGCTGCCGGGGAAAGGTGATCCTACCTTTGCTGGTGCTCTCCTGACCCACGCCACAGCTTCGGGTGCAGAAGGTGCAGCGATCATTGCCGCAGCCATAGCCCTCCTTGCACGTGCATTCAGCATCGCTTGTTGAGGAGCAATTTTTCAAATACCGAAACGGTCCTGCAAGGGGAAAAGCAATTTTAGCTTATAGCATGGACCTTTGCTCTCACAAGAACCAGGCTGGCGGCTCCAGCGTTATTTGGCCAAAGGCACATCCCTCGCCGGGCAGGTGCCACCCGGGCACGCCGTTGCCACGGGAGGTCACAGCAGGGCTGGTGGCATCGCCGCCGATACCTTCGCACCGCCGACACATCCTGCAGCCGCCGCTTCCCGCCGCGCTGGAGAAGGTGCCGGCCGGGCAGGGCTTGCACGGCGCGCCCGCTCCCCGTGCGCAGTCGGCGCTCTTTACGAAGGTACCTGCGGGGCGAGACACGGCGGTCACACGGGCCGGGACACGGCCGTCACCGCACCCCGGCACGGCCCTTACCCGCCGGGCAGTGAGCGCCGCAGGGCAGCGCGGCCGCGGCTCCCGGGCTCAGCGCCAGCGCCAGCAGCGCCGCGGGCAGCAGCGCCCGGCCCGGAGCCATGGGTCGGAGCGGGTCGGAGCGGGGACTGCGCGCGGGACACCCGGCACCGGCCCTTAGCCACCGCCCCCGGGGGGCCTGGCTGCGTCATGCCGGGGGCGGCGGGGAATCCCCGGCCCGGCGGGACTTTCCGGACCCTCTCAGAGGCGCGACCCCTCAGTTCTGCCGGGCAGCGCCCGCAGAGCTCTCTCAGCGATGCCGGTCAGCGGTCGCCCTTTTCACCACCGGGGCTTCCCGGTGAGTGCGGCGTGGAATCCCCGGGAGGTGAGAGGCGAGAGGCGGGGCCGGCAGCCGCAGCCGTGCCGGGGATGCTGAGCGCACATGGGCACCGCGGGGACACGCGGGGGGCGCCGCGCCCCGGCCGGCAGCCTGTGGAGCTCCCGCCCGCCGGCACGGGAACGGCGCGGCCCCGCCCCCTGCGGCCGCTCACAGCCAATCCCCGAGCCTGGTCCCGCCCACTGCACATCCCCGCAGCCAATCCCTGAGCGCAGTTCTGTCCCACAGCCGGGCCCGGAGCGCGGGCAGGAGCAGAGATGGTGAACGCTGGATGCAGAGTTATAACTGAGAAGCGAACGTATGGTCCGTGTGTGTGTGCCCTGCCTGTGTGTGCCGGCACACAGGCAGAAAGAGCAAGGATCAGCCTGTCCAGGTTCTGAGCGGAGTCCGCTGTGGGCAGCGCACAAAGCGCCCCGTAGCGGGAGCTGAACCCCGCACGGATCCCAGCAGAGCCCTCAGCGGTCCTTCCCTATCACCGGCTCTCCTCCCCTGGACTTGAGCTGCTCTGCCGGTGCTCTCGTGAGCTCAGAACCAGACCGGGCCTGCCAGCACCTGCGAGCAGGCTTTTACACAGCAGGGCTTTGCAGTCCTAAAGATGCTCGCTAACAGCTCTGTCTGTCCTTCAAAACACCGAAACTCCTTAAAACCAGGGGCAGCATCATCCCTGAGCCACAGGCATTCCCTGGCAAACAAGTGTCGGGCAGACGCTTCGGGCAGAGGGCGGAGAAGAGCAAGGCTTGGTCCGTGAGGGGCTGCCTGAGGGGCGGCAGCGGCAGCAGCAGCAGTAGCGGCAGCAGCAGCAGTAGCGGCAGCAGCAGCTCGGTTTGCGGTCGCGCCGCCGTAGGAGGTGACCCTTGTCACGGTGCGGGCACCGGAGCGCCCTCCGCGTTCCGAGAGCCCGTGAGAAAAGCGGAGCGTGCCGGCAGCGCGGGGGAGCGGCGGGGCGAGGCCGGGGCGGAGCGCGGGCGGTGCCGGGGCCGGGGCGGAGCGCCCCAGAGCCGCCCGCGGCACCGCTGAGGTGAGTTGTGGCCGCCGCCGCTGCGCTTGCCGCGGGCCCGGCCCGGAGAGCCCTGCCGGGCGGGGGTGTCGGTGTGGATGTGGGTGGAGGGTTCGGTAGCCGGGCCGGGCGGGGTTGCGGTGCCCAGGCGACCGCGTTGCAGGGCCCAAAGCCTGCCCTGCCCGTGAGGAGGCCTCGGTCCATGCCCGGGCCCGGCCCGTGCCGTCCCTGCCGCGGGGAATGGCGCCATGTCCCACACGAACTGACGGGAATGGCGCCGTGTCCCACATGAACTGAGGGGAACGCGCGGCCTTTCCACCCCGCTGCGCCTTCAGCCCTGCCCTGCCTGTAGATAGCGGCTCTGTGCTCGGAGCACTGCAGGGTGTGATTGCTTTTAAAGCCACCCTGCTTGGAGTTTGTGATTCACCATCTCCAGAAGGGCTCGTGTACCCACGCAGGGCTGTGCCTTTGGCTGAGGGGTTTGAGGCGCCCTCAGCTGCACTGAGGAGCAAATAGGGGACTGGCATTTACTATGTGTAGGTAGATTGTTAAATGAAGTTGTTAGGTCTGTGTAACTTAGTCCTACCTTCTCAAAAACTGTCTTTCCGTAGTAGTGGGACAGCTATTTACATATGCACCCACGTGAAGAACTGTACTAATGCTCAAGAATTGTACAGTCAATATATAAAGGCACTATGGAGAGACTGCATTTTGCAAAACTAGGAGAAAGAGTAAATGTGCCTGTTTTCATCTAAAGAATTAATGAAAGGGATGCAAACTGTGATCTAGATATTTTTCTTCAATAAAAAGCAAGTGCAGCATTTCTGCATGGTGGCTATTCAGGTAGTTTTTTGCTAGTCATATTCATATGAAAATTGTGCAGAATAAATATGTTCCTTCAAGCTATTAAGAAGCTCTAGGTTGTTCTGGAGTTATTGCTAATACCTGAGATTTGGGTGTACTTGATCAGTGGGCTTTGCAGTGACAGTGCATAAAGCTGCCCTAAAAGTAGGATATGACACAGTGAATTATTCTGTTTGGGCTGGTTCAGCATGCTGTGGGATGTTGTGCTGTATATTACTGCATCCTAGAAATAATTCTAAAGGAGGCCACCAGTAGGGAGAAAACATAAAAACAGATGAAGTTAAAGCAGGGGGAGGATTTTATGTAGGTACCTAAATGTGCATCACATTTTATGAAGAACTCCCAGGTACTGTGTGCAGTTCTAGATGGAAGGTCCCTGCATAGCACAGAAATCTCTGTCTTACCAGAGTAGTAACCCATGAAATGCCTCCTCACATCACAGAGGCTTTCACAGCCTTCTCTCAGACCTGTATGAGTTAGTGGTTATTTTATATGATGTAAAGTTATTTTAACTTAACCTTCAAATGGAAACTTGGCCATTCACCTCAACTTGAATTTAAAAGTTTTAAAAAAAAAGTCTTAAGCCTGGTTTGTTCCATTTGCTAGGTTCTGTGGTCTGCTCCCCCATCACACGTGTGCACATGTGTTTCATCCCCCACAAAGTTGCAAAATAACCCAGAAAATCTGTTGGTGAGATTTTGCAGGGGCACTGCTCGACTCACTGTTAAGTCACAGGAAACTCCTCATGCAGCATGCTGGGTGGAAACTAAAAACCAGACATGAGGTCAAAGCCTGTGCAAGCCCTTTTTGTCAGTGCTGGCCTGGGTGGGAGTCAATAATCTCGGAAAGAGTGAGGGTGTGCAAATTGAAAACGGCTCTGCCACCCACCCTGAACCCCTCTCTGTTAGACACAGGTTATGATTAAGGTCTTGATTAGGCCAGGCTGTTTCCTCTCCTGATGCTGATGTGCTGTGCCTCCCATTGCCCAATATTTTAATATCATAATGCATTCTTTCTAAAAAGCTCCTTAGTTAAACAGCATGGTTATGAATATTGATTTAAATGAATATTATGAATATTGATTTAAGTGAATATTGATTTAAATGAATTTTCTGAATATTGATTGAATTTTGAGGTGGTTTAAATGAAAGAACATGCAAAAGTACAAATTACTGTTCAGTTTCAGCATAAGGGGATTTGCCTTCTAACCACATTATCTTTTATCCTCCTCAGCCCTTTCCTTCACAACCACCTCTCTAATAGCAGCCCCTCAAGACATGGCCTCCAAGAGAGCATTGGTGATCCTGGCTAAAGGGGCAGAGGAGATGGAAACTGTAATCCCCACTGATGTTATGAGAAGAGCTGGGGTGAGTATGAGGCAGTGAATAATCTGGTCAAGGGGAAATCATTGCTTCAAGCTGAGGTTCATTTCCTGGAATTCAGTGTGTGGTCTGTGAAGTAAAAATTTACCCTCATCATCTTACTGCTTAGCAAATACTTGTGTCATGCTGACATTTGTTGGTAACCTTTAAAAATACCAAAATCTGATGTGAACTAGAGCAAATATTTCAAGTAAATCCTACTCTGTCAGAAAACACAGCTACCTCCATGTGTAGTAACTGGAAGTGCCTCTGTTGTAGGGGTCTGGAAACCTCAGTACATTACAGCTCATGACACTGCTTAACTGAATTCCAAAAGTAGCTCAAGAAAAGCTATTTACTACAGTTCTGGCTGTTGGGATTCCTTAAGTTGTTTGTTACTCTTGTAGTTGTAGTAGCACACTGTTATCTCATTAGAAATGAAAATAATACTTTAAATAAACACACAACTTCACTTATATAGAAATGACTGAAATAAAAATTACCTTCTCCCACCACTTTGTCATTCCATCACTGTGCTCCCCATTTTGGCTGTCAGAAGAGGAACAAGCTCTCAGTACAGCTTTGCTTGCACTACTTAAGAACTAACATATAAGAAAAATGCCCTGAATTTTTGTTTTATAATAATATATTTGTTCTCCTGTTAGATCAAGGTGACTGTTGCAGGCCTGACAGGAAAAGAACCAGTGCAGTGCAGTCGAGATGTCTTCATTTGTCCTGATGCCAGTCTTGAAGATGCCAGAAAAGAGGTTGGTCAGCATCCTTCTCTGATATAAATAATGGTCAGCATAGCCTCTCTCACAGTTTCTGAGGTAACTCCTGAGAAGTTCACCAAATTTCCCAACATTGACCAAAAGTCTGAGGTGAATTTGGAAAGCTTATGCATTACCTTTGGGCATATGTTGCATGTTGTGTTAACTCTGTGTAGCAGTGAATTACAGAGCTGTACAATCAGACAGATTTCTTAATTCTGCCTAAGTATTTGAGTTTTGCAAAGGGCCAGTCACAGAGCTTCATTTTTCCTGTTACTTGGCTCAACAAAATACTGTGATTTGGGCCAACTCAAAGTTCTGATGGAAAGCTAAATAATGTTATAGTTAGCACTGTACAGTAAGGTTGGAGCAAAACCACTTTTCTTTACAACATAAGAGCTGTCACTTGCTGAAGCTTTTAAGTGCACTGGGGTTAAAAGTCAGTTCTGTGAGAGACTTAATTGATAATAGGCTTTTCCTGGAACAGGAAATAGTATTTTTGTCAAAATTGGAACTGGTTTTCTGATCATAAAGTGTTGTTCAGTGGAAGAAAAGATTGATTTCCACTTGAATCAGCTGCAGTGGTCTTCAAACAGGGTAATGTATGTAAAGAGTGGAATGTGTGTGTCAGCCTCTGTTCAACAGAACAGTTTTATCTTTGTTTAGGGGCCTTATGATGTTGTGGTCCTGCCTGGAGGGAACCTTGGGGCTCAAAACTTGTCTGAGGTAAAGTTC